TGAACCACGCTGAACCGACACGGCCACGACGAACAACGACGAACCGTCTTAATAGAATTGCTTCATTATATATACTTGCTAATACGGTTTGAACCAGTTTGAACAGTGCTTGAGTGCTATGACCCGGTAACCGGGCCACGCGCGGGATGATGCAATCAAATAATGCAGGATTACTTTCTCCTCGGACGGAAGACCACGGAAGACGAGCGAACAGCTCGACGTCCCAAACAGAACTACATACCGACCGTGTCACTCCATCTTCATATTTAGTTCATTCGCGTTGGGGATCTTATTATAGAGGCGCCACTAACGCTGGTACACGCAGTTTGGTGGCCCTGGGCCAGATTTTAGAATTTCCCGGGAAGGCAGATACCCGTTCGCGTTTCAGTAAAAGGGGGGGACCGGATTAATCAGAGCCGACTAACGAAAGGCTCATAAGTAGAGGAAACGGGTAGCTGCCTATCCCGGTAACTAGTAGCAGATCCATCGCGGGGATCTTATCCGCAATCCCGTCTCACCACAGAAGCGGGTCTCTCACTATAACTTGTACCGTCGGCTCGCGTTCGGTATTTTTAGTTAGGCGATGTCACGCCTCGAATTTTCGTTCGCCGCTTTAATGTACGTATCCCGGCGTCATGGGATGTTCTATCGCGGTATAATAAGTCTTTTGTCTGTCCCACATTATATTATCTTATTCGTTCTCGCGGCATGCGGTCAGATTTCGCGCTAAGATGGCTCGTGCTATGTAATTGTGTCTCGCGTCGTGTCGTCTCGTCTCGCGTTAAGTTGTTATTACGGCGTCGAATCTCGCGTTAAACCGTCGCTTATATTATGTAAGCAGTCGACTTTCGCGTGTTATATTATGTGTTATAATAAGGAGAGTATAATAAAGCGTCGATTTTATATGATAATTTTTGTTGCTCTAATCGCGCCTCCTCCTCCGAGCCACCAACATTCTATCGAATCCAGCTGAGAAGGCTGACTACCCGGAGTAGTGCCGGCGGGGCCGGCCTCGATTTCCGCGAGCGTAATTACGTATCGGATCTTAGGCGGTACGGGAATACCGTACCTGGCGCCCAACTCTTGCGCGCGCTCGCCGAGAGGCTCGAGGCCGGACTCGAGGGTCAAATTATTCGTTTGGGACGCGTGATCTCCGGAGAGGACGAGCCCGGGAGAATATGCCCGTCACAGTATTAAATTCTGTTTCTGACTGTTTCGCGAAAACGCATAGTAGAACAGTCAGAAACGGATAGAATTTAATACACGTTCTGTCCGATTCTAACGGAGTTTTTACCAGGCTCACTCCGTCGAGTGGTATATAGGTATATAGTCTGGAAATTCCAATGGAGAGGGTAGGTCGCTTCGATCGCTTATTGAAGCCGATTTCTATAAGATTAGAAATACTGTCGCTCTGTGTCATCTGATCTCTGTCTCTCATCTGATTCTTTGAGTTCTTTCTCTGTCTATACTATCCTACCACAGCGACTCTCGTGGCCAAGAGACAAACGATTGATTTGCTTCAATCAAAGCGACCTAACCCCACCACGCAAATTCGTCGAAGTTTCAAGACTTGTACGACACTACGAGTACTACGACCATATGGATCCACGTAAGGCTGATGGCAGAGAACAATCCGTAAACGCTTAAAGGCTCCTATACAGTGGGAATCCGTATTCGTTACGTAACCGTAAACGTAAAAGTTCAATTATTTGAACTTTTATGGTTACGTTGAGGAAGGAGTTTGACAAGATGGTATTAGGTTAGATCGAGAGTATTCTGGGTGTTTCGTTTTTCTACAAGTTTGGCAAATAAAATAAAATAATGCTCAACGAATCGGACCGAATTTTCATCGAGTTGGTTGAGAAACATTCTAATATATTGTACATATATGCTACAGATACATAAAAGTTCCATGCAACAGTTTGCATACTGCAACCATGAGCAAGATAACTATAAAATAAAATATTAATTTAAAATTAATGATTTAATAAATATTATAAGATAAACTTACTACAAGGTAATACATAAACGATGTTCGGCGGAGAGAGGCTCACGAATACTTTTCTTCGTCAGAGGGTCTTTAACTAAATTTAACAGTTTCTCGAACTGTGAGATGGTCATTCGGGTATATTTAAAAAATTCCTCGTGGTCATTATTTTTCAGGAATTGAAAAAGAGTATGAAAATGACCTTTCTCTTTACGCTGTAATAGCATTAGCTGCACCCAATATTTTCTTTTTCGAATCATTTTTCTTTTTTCCCTAACTAATTGTAGCATTATTGCAGCCAAATTAACAGTCACAAGTGCTATATTTTTAACTCGCTGAACATCCATTGCACACAATTGCGTTTTCGATTTAGATTCTGTCAAAACACAAAATACTTCTTTAATTCTTTACAGGTTAGAAACAACTCCTTACTGATTGTTTCGTTAAAGTTACGTTACGGTTACGGGCTGCCATTGTAAATTATACGGGTCGATTTCTTACGGTAACAGTTACGTAAGGATTACGGATTCTCATTGTGTAGGAGCCTTAAGACTGTCTCATTCGTAGACGTAGGGCAAGGCAGAGAAAAACGTAAGTCGTATACAATAGCCTTTCACGACTTACGTTTCTCTCTGCCTTGCCCTACGTCTACGACTAAATCAGTCTTAAGCGTTTACGGATCGTTCTCTGCCATCAGCCTAAGTGTCACCATTAGGCAATCGACGTGTTCGGACGTGTTCGTCCCAAACGGAAATTTTTGAGGGTTAGGTTAGGTTGCGAAAGCAACCATATACAGCTTAAGAGTGAGGAAGGGGGTTACGGAACAAGTGAAATTGAAAAAGATAGAAAATTAAGTGTAAAAGAACCGACTAGAACAATAAGAGAAGATATACGGAATAAGAAACGTTGTGTCAAAGAGTTCCGCGGATGAGCGAGGAACAACACACAAAAAAAAGGATCCACGTAAGTAACATAATGCATACAGAAAACTGCAAGATTTAGTGGGCAAGATGGGCTCTGTCAACATCTACATATTAAATATATTAGGAATTCGACAAACATACGTAACGTCGGTGAGTTTAACTATCAACATTTTTCTTTTATTTCAGATATAGAAATTCTATTGCTACCTTCACTATAACCAACTACCTTAAATATATGTGATGTATGAAATGCATTTTCGGTATTCATTTTTTGAACAACAATGTCACATCGATCATTAATGTTAATAATTGCCGTTATTTGAGCCTTTTCGTTACTAATCAATTGCACAACGGAATCATTAGTTCTTTTTTGTGATTTATAACGAATAGTGTGATAGAAATCGCCTTTATAAATGCATCGCTCGTACATCACACCATTATCGGTTGACCAGCCATTCCCGAGCAAAACTGTTTCGCCAACAATCTTAGCCGAAGTAGAATGTATATAACGATCTACAAATAAGCGTTTGTAATATTGTCTACATAATTCAGAGTTTTTATAAATATTGTCTGCTTGCCACTTTAACAAATTTTTCAGCAAATATCTCTTGCAAATTTGATTATCGACGCTCTTTGGTCCACTCACTTGTTGTTTGAGGTGATAATTGGTACTTTCGAATGTGAAAGCGGAAGTCGCCCATAACGGTCCAGCCATTTTAATAGATTGCACAATATGCAGCAGACAGTGAATATTAAATGTCACATATTCTTCTCCGTATAAAATTTCAAATTCTGCGACGAAGCGTAGTAGATTTATTTCGCATTGCTGCAGATCATCTTCACTAAGATTGTTCTGTAGCAGTAAAAATATAGTTTTTACTAACAGCACCAGATGTTCTAGGACATCATCTCGTACTATACCATTTAAACAAGGCAGACAGTAAAATACTCCCCACGAAAGCCATTCAGAAGCTTTCCATTTGCACCTGTCGGTTAGAGGTCTCGGTAATCGCTGAATCTTTCTTATCGG